CTTATATTTTTTTGAACCCTGAAATAAGCGCTTGGCCTTACTGCCATGTGCTCAAAAGCCCGATTGGGCTTATTATCAGGGGATGTCTTATTTTGGGGGAAACAGGGTAGTTCTACCACATAAACAAAAATAAGAAATGGTAAAATGGCGGTGAATAAGCTGTCGAGATTTTGAGGCTAATTTTGTATGCCTACTTCTGGGGTGATCGATAAGTTTGCTTAAAAGTAGGCTCCCCAGTAGAAATGTTAGGAGCATGGGGCATGGTTGAGCTTGTTTCTTTTTTCATCTCCAGTGTGTCTGCTTTGTCTCTGTCCAATGCCTCCCTTCTCCCCTCTCTCAGTCTCATCTCCAAATCTGCCCATTTCCTTTCCGTGCAAGTGAACCTTAATTGAACCTAACTCCAAGCCCACCACTTCCCCTTCCATCCCTTTGCATTTAGCAAGGCTGGAGGTAGAGGACCAGTACCTGAATGTCAGGAAAGCAGCTGGCCCTTGCAGCTGGCATGCCAGGAAGAAATGGCGGTGGCGGGCATCCTCTCACAGATGCACTGTGCCCTTGGCCTGGATCTGCACAGGGACTACCTGGCTGTACCACATTTGTTCCATGGTTTGGTCGATGGAGCACACGCCTTGGCTGACAGGCCACTGGGACTCCATGCTCTGGTTCACTGCAGCCTGGAGGACTTCTAACTTGAGAAGGTTCAAACCCAAAGCAAGGCAAGACCCGCTGCAATTCACTTGTCTCTCTCTTAAATTATCCCACATTGAATTGTCCTGCAGAGAGTTGACCCATGTTGAGTTGATCACAGCGAGTTAGTTAGGGTGAGTCAACTGTGGTAAATTGTCCCATTCCACATCTATTGCTAGATATTGAACTACGTTGCAAAATCCTGGAAAGTGTATGTTTGGTTAAGCATCTACATGCTGGGTATTTTTTGTATATCTGTCAGAATCAAAACTGGTAGATTTATCTAAAAATTGTGAAGGAATCAATTTTTTTTTTCTGTCCCTGCACAGAAGATATGCAAGTGGACACTCTAGCACAGTAATTCACTATCTTGGCAGCTTGAAGCTATGTGGCCTTCAACTCCCAGAATTCCCCAGCCAGAAGGCTTGCTGTGGAATTCTGGGAGTTGAAATCCACATATCTTCAACTTGCCAAGGCTGATAGACACTGCTCTAGGATATAAGAGTGACTATATGTAAATGCCTGACAGCAATTCCTACAAAGCACAATAAAATATAATCAAATATATTCATGGTCTCCAGCAAAGATTGACATTTATCCAGGTTGAGGAAACCATGCCAGATAGTGAAGGATAAGGTTTTCCTATTCTCTACCCCCTGAGTAATTATGACAAATGTTTAAAAGAGCTATTTCAATCAACTAGGGAGAAAAGGAAATATTTAAAACACTTTTTAAAAGAATTCCCAGTGAAGAGTTTTTAGTCATGTTCAGAATGCCAGGCATTTTAAAATTATTTGACTGATATAAAACATCTGGCTCTTTCTGATTAAGTGTAGCAGAGTGACATAGTTGACGTGTTTTATTATGTTAAAATTGGCCAGCTGTAAATTAAAACAACACCCCACCTCACCCCAATCAGATTTATTTAGTTTTTCCTTGCTGTTCATCAATTTACCTCTTCACGTTCACTTTTCTGTTAGAAGTATTTTCTCAGGGAAAATTGTTTAAGCTAGACTGCAAAGGGATATTCTTGTCTTGAAACCAGTGGAGTCCGACAGATTTATGTCGCAGGGCAGTTTAACTGGCCTGCTGCCAAAGGAGGCTATATGGCCTGTTAAAATGTGTTTACATCAGCAATTGAGTCTAATATGTTTCCAGCTTTACAAAGGAAGCAAAAATAATGTGGTATGGAATAACTTCATATTCACAGCAATAATAGTTATATGTAGATTGAAAATGTCAAATTAGTTCTATGCTTGCCCTCATGCTTGCAATTCATGCAGTCAAGCATGCTGATGGAATTCATATCTGAAGGGAATGGATACAGATCTTGTTGGATATAATCCAGATGTGTTGCCACAGAGCTGAAAGTAAAATTGCAATTCTTCTCTTCATCATGCCGGAACTCAGCAGGATAGTTACCATAGTTGTATGCACAAACAACCAATGCCAAACAGAGTCCCTTAATTTTAGAATTAAATAAGTTTAAAGGCACAATCAGAAACTTACTTCCTTGGAAGTGAGTGCAATGTTTCCAGATTGAGTTTGTAGCCTTCCTTCTAGAAACTCACCTAATGCTACCAAGCAGAAAAAAAATCTTGTGGCTACTCCACCATACTCTCATCTATTCCTTTTTCTTTCTTGGTAAGAAAATAAGAGAAGTGGCAGAAAATTAAGATTTTATATTATAGGCAAAGATTATGTGTGGGAATAAAGGAGGATATTTGTAGCTCAGGGTTGACATGAGGGGCCTTGGTGCTCTCTGAGCTTGGTCGTTTTCTTGCAGACATTTCATTATCCTAACTAGGTAGCATAATCATTGCTAGTAAGGAATGGGGTTTGCTCTTAGTTTATTATTTTAGTGGCTTGCCCTGTCAGTGTTGGTAGGGCGATCTTAGAGGTTCTTTGATAGGCTGTTTACTGTTGGCTTGTTTGGCAGTTCCTTGATTGGGGTATTGTTTACTTAATTGTTGGTCTGATGTTAATCTTGAAGTTAATCTATACTCATCTGGGTGTTGGTTGCTGGTGAGAACGTATTTTGGTTCTTAGATTCCCTTTTTGGCTTGTTGATGGTCTCTTTTGCACAATAGGTAGATGTTATTTATGTCTATGTGTTTATTGATGGTTAATTTATCAGAGTGCCAGGCTTCCAGGAATTTTCTAGTGTTTTTGCAAGATGGGTAGCAAACAAATAAAACCAAGGAGCCTTTAATAAGTATTTGATGAGGGGTCGCGATGGGTCGGACATGACTTCGCAACTAAAAACAACAACAAAAGCCTTTGGTAATCAAAGCAGGAAATGATAACATTCCTTGATGAAGAGTCATCATTTGGGGTTTTCTACGTGACTGAAGTAGCATTTTTCTAGTCTAAAAGTTTTCTAGATTTTTTTTTTAAAGCAACACATCACTGAAGGATTGAGAAAGAATTTCTCATTGCTTGGTTTTAATTATGCAATTTGAAGTTAGGGTTGCAAATATATTTTTTCTTGTTATAAAAAAGAAAAATTGTAGGCAGACAAGGCTTACCTCAAATATGTTTTTGTTTTAAACAGATTCCATGCTGGAGATTCAATTGAACCCAATTAAAGATTAATAGATTTGACCAGAAATTCTTCACTGACTTTGAAACAATATTATTTACAATCTTTGAAAATGCAATTGCTTTGAAACAGTAATCTTTTCAAAGGGCAAAGGTTGATATGACAGAGCCTGCGCAAATAATTACTCTTCTGGAGTCCCTGCCATAACCCACAACTATGTGACTTTGCAAAAGGGAACTAAACAATTCATTATGATAGTTTTTCTGCTATTTGAAATGAGTTTCCTCCTTTCTCTTTGTAAATAAGAAAAAAGCTTATTTGCATTTTCCGTTCATATATCAACAGCATGTGGAAGAGATTAGTGAGAAAACTCAGACATTTCTGCAAACAGATGGCATAAATGGAAACATTGCAAAGATCAGAACCTGAATTTCTGTGTATTGCTTTGCCACTGTCCTCTAGTCATGCAAGACAATGAATGTTACCTATGGCAGATTGGTAGGATTTTCATAGACAGTATATTTTTGAATAACAGTTGCTGAAGATCTACAATGGGAGAAGGAAATTAGTACTTCCTGAAGGTATCTGGCAGATGGTTTCTGATTTCATAAGGAAGATGGTTCCCAATTTCATCCAACAGACTATTCTTAAAAGAATTTGAACAATTATAGGAATAGGTTAGTCTGCTTCAACTTTGGATCCAACCTAGAATTAAGGAGACATTTCCTGATAGTGAGAATTAATCAGTAGAACGGCTTTCCTCCAGAAGCGGTGGGTGCTCCATTGGTGGAGAAGAGATTTGACAGCTGTTTATCTGAAATGGTATAGAGCAGGGGTCTCCAACCTTGGCAACTTTAAGACTTGTGGACTTCAACTCTTAAAGTTGCCAAGGTTGGAGACTCCTGGTATAGAGGGTCTCCTGCTTGAAAAGACCTCCACAGTTCCTTCTGTTATTCCGTTTCTATGATCATATATTTTAGTGCTGTCATATAGCAATCACATGTAGAAATGCTGCATCATGGGGAAAAATTAAAGGATATTCGTTCTTTTGTTCCTGACCTTCAGAGACAAAATATGCTTATTTTATTAATACAGTGAAATTTCTAACCCATCTCAGCAAATAGAAATTGACTGTGCTTGTGTGGGCTGGGCTACTAAGCTGTGTTATTTAGGACTAGGAATTGGGTGGGAGACCACAAGGGAATTTCAGGGCTGTAGGCCAGACTGGGCAATAGAGAAAAAGGCAACAGAAACTGTTGTTCTGTTTACAGAAACAGAACTATAGCCAAGAAACAGTAGGATTATTGTCAGGATAACAAGAATTTACCAGAAGAAGATTTCTTTATGCTTATTGATTGAACATAGAGTGAGATACAATAAATTAAAACAATGTATATAAAAGAAAGGGATTAAAAAGATATTGGAGATCACAACAAGCTTAAAACTCTGGAGGCCAGAGCAATCAAAACCTTACTAACCAAAAAGTACAATATTATAAATTATTCATATAATTGGCCAGCCATGTATGATTATCATACATATAACAAAGAGGAATGAGATGAAGGTAATCCTCTGTAACCATTTTCCATCATTTTTCATTTGAAGGCTTCATATATCAAACAATAAACATCACCTTCAAAATCCCAACTTTGAGGATTTTACTGCTTTCATTTATATGCAGATTCAGAGACATGGTCTTGATTTTTCTTGCAGTAAATAAAGACAATACATACAAACCCCACCCCTTTGAAGGCTCATAAGAAAAAAATACCTTCTTATGTGGAAATGTAGATTGCACCATTGCAGTTTCAAAACTATGTGTTCCCTTAAGCTGGGTTTTTTCCCACAAGGTGTTCAGGACTTGCAAATAATTATTCTGCATGGACAATGGTTCTGGGAACAAGCCCTAATGGACAAAAAGAAAAGCAGTACTGATTGAAAAGAATATTTGTACCTCAGGATTCAATTGTGGGTGCATCTCTAGATGAAATTGGACATTACAAGGGAACATTTTTTGCAACTGATAATTAAATGAGTGTTCTAAAAATATTGGGAAAACTTAAGAAATATGCTACAGATTAGCATTAGGTAGAGTAGCTGTGAAGTCCTTGGAAATAATATTAAAATGCTGTGATGATGCATAACGTCAGAATTGTGCAAGATATGGAATTTCCTGAGACACTCTATGGAAGTGAAAGCTGGACTTTGAAAAAGGATAGGAAATGTATTCATGGTTTTTTAAAATTTTAATGTTGGAGTGGACACCTAAGAACTCCAAAGTCCCTTTGAACTCTGTTATTTTGTCCATGGCCATCCAAGGCCATGGCCATCCAAGAATGGCCATCCAAGAAAACTAACAAAAGTATCATCAAACAAATCAACTCAGAGTTGTCACTCAAGACACAGATGACCAGGCTAAAACTTTGGACCTAGCTGTCTGGATAGGTTTGGAAGGGTGTCTAATGTTGGGAAAGTGGAAGGAGAGAAAAAGAGGTTGACTAGCAGAAAGGTGGATGGATTCAGTTACTGTACTGATGAGTGCTCCTTTATAAGGTCTGAAAGGCCAGATTAGGGAAAGATCATCATGGAGCAAATCTATCTACAGCATATGGTCACTAAGAGTCAACATGTTGATGGCACATAATCAATAACCACTGGCCTGATATTTTTAAACTATATAATTTTTTAATTATATGAGATATTGCTCACAGTAGCTATGTTCAGAGTACTGAGGACAATATTTGGAGTGAGTGTGAAAGAATATCCAGAAAGTCTTTCTCAAATGAAGCTGGTACTGTTTTGCTTCAATGGTGGCATAGCTTCTTTGGGAGTTTATGTAACTATTGTAATTAGATATTTGGATTAATGGATTACATTAGAACAAAACAATCAACATACTTTTGATGTTTAAATGAATGTAAAGATTTTCATGATTTTGACAAATCCATTTTTGAGCATTAGTGCAAGATAATGCAAATGGTGGTGTAATTGTGGTCCTGCAATTTTATAGACTGTGTTTATAAAAGATCTTATCAATGCTATAAGCAGCTTTTCAGCAAAACACAACCTAAACATCTATCATAGCATAGCACATTGATTCATCTATAAATTAAAATCTAATTCTTAGAGCCACAATCAAATGGATTCAACAAAATTTTCTCTTTGCTATTTTTGTTAAACACAAACTTATGGTTAAATAGTACTTACAAATATCTCCATAGAATCTCCATAGGCAGTATTTACAAAGATTTGAAACTATTAAAATGAGCAAAGAGAAAAGTTTGGGACTGACTCCCTTCTTTCAAATTACAGCAGTCTCAAAGAAAAAAAATCATTTATATCTAGCTGAAATATTATGCTTCATGTTAGAAAACAATATTATTTTAGTTTTCCTGATTTACTTCCAATTATGTATTTTCAAATTAAACTGATCAACAATATAAGTTGACACAGAGGATGTCCGGTTGACATTGCATCGTTATTGGATGCAAAAAATGGGGCTCCACAAACTTGCGCCGAATCCCTTCATTGGAAGGCACCATAAGGGGCTAAGGTCACTCTGTAGGGGTGACAAAGAGTGGAGGGGTGCCCTGCAGGTTGCAGAGAGCAACAGCTCTCCTGCTTGATCCAGGGCTAATTCCCTCTCATCCGATGATGAAGAGAAGAGACAGTCATTAAGGCTGCTGTGAAGCTGGGGCAGCCAAAGAAACAAAGACTGTGCTGGAGCGGTGTGGATGAATAGTGACTGGAACTGGGTGAGGTGACTTTTTTTTTAACCTGAAACCTAACCTAAAGAAAATAAACTTTGGAAAAGGGACCCTTTGAAGAGTTTGTTTAAGCAGCAAACAATTACAGAGAGAAAAATTATAGACCCAAATGAAAAGAAAAGGATATTAAGAAAAGAGCGCAAAACCTTTAAAAACATAAAAAGATTGGATTTCTAATTTTTATTGGCAATAAGGCATTTTAAAATGCTGGAATTACTTGTCAGAATTTTGATTATTTGTTTGAATAAATACAAATGGAACTTGTTAGAATCTATGCAATGCTGAAGTTAAATGGAAGGCTCCATCTACTGGTGAATGGAACACATTATATTCCTACAACCCTGAGAAAAATACTGATAAAACAGAGGAGAAAGTGGAAATAACACCTGGAGAACTGCTGTGCTATCTATTGCTTTATACTTATCTATTCCATGACTACTGGAGCTCTAATGTTGAAAATATGGAAAACATCTAAGTAAAGTGTCTTTTAAATATCAGGAGTTATGGTTGAACTTATAGTGGGGATTTGAGGAGACATTTGGAAATTTTCCTGGATTATCTAAAAAGAGCTAAATTGACTAATTGTGGGACATAAAGTACCATATTACTGTATTTCCGGAGGAGCAACATCAGGACTGAGTAAATGGTTTCCAGATCGACTTTCTGAGGGCAAAAGTAATTGAGACTCTGGGGCAGTGATAGAACATTGACAGACTACTGAATGATATTTGGATTTATCAAAAAAGAAGGCAAGATATTTCAGCAGGGGGAAATAAGTGTGTTACAAAAAGAATTGGTGGTGATGTTTCAAAGCATTCATGATACTATGACAAGGAATCACAGGGAGAAAATGGACTTAATGAATAACATAAATGGGAAGTTAGAAAGTGCTCCACAAGGGATAATGAATAATGATCAAAAAGCCCAGGAAATAGAGGAGACAATAGAGAGACCAGGGGAAAAGACAGAATTAAATAAACAAACAAAACAAGAAGATAAGAGGGAGAAGGTAATAAAAACTTATGAAGCAATTCAGGGAAAATATATGCTAAAAGACCAGAAAATGATACTAGATAAACAGAAAGATATCTTTGAAAAGAAAATGGAAAGTTGGGCAGATCCTCTGGAGGTTTGGCAATAAAAGATAGTAGAGATGGAAGAAATACTTTAATAGGTAAGATATAGATAGAGAAGACCCAAGGGAGGAATTTGGGAGGCAAGTCAAAAAATGAATAAGAATTGAAATATTAAAACAGACAAGAGTTGACAGATAGAGGAAATATTTTGTAACACAAGATTGGCTTTACTAGGAGCTAGAATAGAGGCAGATACAAGAAATAGGGGGAATATTATTATGCATATTTTTATATAATATATTAAAAGTAATAGCTAGATATAAAGTTTAGATGTTGAAAGATGGTGATAGTATGTACATTCTAATGATATTCTTATTGTTATTAGAATGGGGGACTAAAATGTGGGACAAATAATGAAGGTTTATATTGTAATACAAATATGTATAAGAATATTATTACAATTACATAAGTATGATTTAAACAACAAATAATATTAATACTATCATTACTACTTGTATTCAAATGAATGATACCCAGATGCCTCACGGTTCATGTATTGATATTGATGTATATTTAATAAATAAATAAATAAATAAATAAACAAAACAATATAAACTGATACATGTTTTTTAATAGGTAAAATTCATTGTATTCAGAAATGTCCACTCCTAGATGGGCACATACCACTCAACTATATGGAAATTACCGGCATCTTAATTTAACTTCCAGTCCATAATAAAATGTTGTATTTATAGTATAATGAAAATAATAACATTTCTAATATGAAATAATGAAAATTTCTAACATAAATGTTGGTTTGCCCAGACTCTAGGATTCTATAGAATGATCAGCAAGCGAAAGCATAACAGAAATCAGAGCAAAGAATCATTTGATGCATGTACAGAGGCTTCCTCGTGAACTAAGGAGAGAAAGAGAATTACATTTTTAAAAATGAAAATTATTATAGCATTCCCCAGTTCTGGGGAGTGGAAACCCCAGAATTTCCACTCAGCTCCATCAGCAGAAGGGGAACCTCATTAAATGAGAACAATTATGGACTAAAGTAACTGTTTGTGGCTGAATGCAAATAAATATTCTCTTTACATCTAATTAAGTTTAATTTACTACCATACACATTATTACCAGCAGAGACCAAAAAATAATCAGGCTTACACACTAGTAAATTTGGAACACAGTGTGAGTTTACTGAAAATTTAGAGGGGGAGTGGGGCAATAAGATTGACTCAACAGTGTGATTATAATATCAAACCATATTCATTAGTATTGGAACTCATCACAGGAAAGTGATTCTCCCATACTGTGAATGGGACCTGAAGCTACTGTCAAAACCTGAAGCTGATATTCTCCACTAGAACTTCATGTTAAAAAGCTGCTACACTGGATACCCCAAACCTGTTTCAGCAAGACTTGGAGGTAGGTCTTGGGAAGCCAGATCATGGATTGCTTTTTCTAATGCTTTTTTTTTTTTTTTGGCAGTGGTTCCACAATATGATTTTGCTTTTAATCTACTTTTAAAGTCAGTTATATTTTATTCACACCTATATTGTAGCAAAGAGAATGTTCGATAATAAGTAGTTCATAAAATTATTATCAACATGAAATCATAATTAGCTTCACCAATTGATTGAACTCCAATTGATTAGCTCTTCTAGACCTCATTCCTCAAACTACAGTACATGTTGATATAGACGAGCATATTAGATATGGATCAAAGTCTGTGAACCCATTAGTTCTAATTTACCTTTGATTCAAGGAAGTAGGATCCTAAATTAATCTGGCCCCATTATTTTCTAAGGCAAAGGAAAATTTTTCATTAAGAAAAAAATTGGTATAACTATCCAGTCTTTTAACAACTGTATATTAATAGTAGGAAGTATCAAGCAGTGCTATCACCTTAATTAAATGATCTGAATAATTTGTTATAGTGTTGCTTGGTAGTTGAGCATTTCCCTTTCCTCTATGAAATAAATAAATATATAACACTTCACAATATCAATATCACAATCCTGATGCTTTGTGACTTATGGTTTTGATAATAGAAAGAAGGGAATTATGATGAAATCTTGGAGAGAGAGAGAGATCTGATCAATATTATACGTATAACTGCCAAGAGGAAAATTGGAAGATCTATCTCTGTCCATGCATCCATGCATCCATCCATGCATCCATCCTATCTCATATTTTCTGTTCTTTTATTTGCTTCTTTTTTCTATCTTGTTTTCTCTGTTTTCTCTTTTCTTTTCTTTTCCACATTTACCTCTCTATATATTTTTTCTTTTTCTTTGAATGTATTTCTAATTACCTATGTAAAAACTTTTACAATCCTGTAATCCTTTTTATCGGGGGGATTTGAACTGACTGAATGGAGCTGAGCATTTACTGGATGGATGCCCTTCCTGATGCCTACGTGGAGCTCACAGCAGATATTTTCTCCTTGCACTCTGATAGAGAAACATCTTTCACTGGCTAGGATTGAACTTTCAACCTGGGAGTTGGAGGTGAGTATCTTCAGAACAACATTGATTTACATCAACATATCTCAAGGGATTACAGTTAACACTGAATTTAATTGACAGCTACTTTAATGATTATGAGATTTATATTCATATTGCACATACCTGCTGAAAGAGAAACATGATATGGATCCAAAGTTGAGGCTGGTGACTGATAAGAGCAAAACCGGATTTACTGTACAGGCAGTAGTGACCTTTCAGGGGACAGCTGAAGGACAACTTTGCTACACAACTTTTAACTGTATCTAGGAACAAATACACATATTATTAATACCAACAATAAATAAAGCTGTACTATAAGTCTGTCTAAACATTACTATTTTAGATTTACAGCTGGCTATCTTTATATATAACTTTTGTATTTTACTGCAACATAATTTACAATAGAAAGGAACCAAAGTAAAATTGATGCAGCATTTCTGGATCTCTTGTTTTAAACAATAGTTATGGTCTAAATTATGAAGAACACTTCATGAAATAACAATGAGAGTCATTCAGTTTTAATATTCAAAACAAATTCCTGACCTCAGAATGGTTTTAATTCTATAGAAATAGCATAACTCAAGGTTCTAATCAAAAGGATAATTCCTTACAAGCTAGTATAAGCCAACAAAAGTAAATAAAGCTTTTGATTTACTTCCACTTTTTAAACTTCATCCTCATATATGGAGATAGCACTTAGCAATAGTACTTAGACTTATATATCGCTTCATAGTGCTTTACAGCCCTCTCTAAGTGGTTTGCAGAGTCAGCATATTGCCCCCAACAATCTGGATCCTCATTTTACCGACCTCGGAAGGATGGAAGGCTGAGTCAACCTTGAACCTGGTGAGATTTGAACTGCTGAACTGCAGCTAGCAGTCAGCTGAAGTAGCCTGCAGTACTGCGCAGTACGGCTCTCAAGATGGAGATGCAGTGTAAGTGGTACACAGCAGAAGAATATGGCATTATCAGATGTGGAATCCGTCTTATTGCTTATAGAATGCCTGGAGTCTCCAGCAATCTGACAGTGATATTGCCATGCCCTCTGCACTGCCCTCTTCTTTCTGCTAGGTATGTTGCAAATGGAAAATTTCACTTGCAGTAAAAATGAACGGTAATTTTTTTTCCCCATTGGGTTATATGGGGCATCTGACTTATCCAGCTTTTCAAGGTATACAGGTAGTCCTGGACTTAAAACAGTTCATTAAGTAACTGTTCAAAGTTACAATGGTACTGTTTTTCATACTTATGACTGTTGCAGCATCCCTATGGTCACATGCTCAAAATTCAGACGCTTGTCAACTGAGTCGTATTTATGACTGTTTCACTTTGCAGCATCCAGGGTTATGTGATCATCGTTTGTGACCTTCTGGCAAACAAAGTCAATAGGAAAGCCAGATTCACTTAACAGCTGTATTACTGATTTAACAACGGCAGTCATTCACTTTACAACTATGGCAAGGAAGCTTGCTTTTGCTAAAATGGGACAAAATTCACTTAACAAACGTCTCACTTAGCAACAGAAATGTTGGGCTCAATTGGGGTCGTAAGTTGAAGACTATCTGTAGTTTCTAAACATAATGGCCAGTCAGCAGAATTAGGTAAATGGGCCAAAATACAGAACAATAACGCTAGGACTTTGCTACCACAGTGAGAAAATGAGATGTTCTCCATTTCCTTTCTTTTTCTTTTTGGGGTGGGAAGAAGAATTTATTTATTCAGCTATTCTCCCATTGCAGTAGCTGTTCTATGCTGAATGCCAGATATTATGTCTGTGGTTGATGGAACACAGCATGCCTTTTTAATTGCCATTGTGCCAAAGAACACAAAATCCAACATCAACTACATTTTAAGACTAGCGTTGTATGTGGAGAGAAAGTCTGATCACCATATTGCACTAAATTATAGATCTTACATTTCAATGATGTTGAGGCTGTAGAAAGAATGCAGAGAAGAGCAACAAAGATGATTAGGGGACTGGAAGCTAAAACATATAAAGAATGGTTGCTGGAACTGGGTATGTCTATTTTGATGAAAAGAAGAACTAGGGGTGACATGATAGCAGCAGAGGTGGGCATCACATACTGTAAAAACCGGTTCGCCCAGCACCGGAAATGTGAGCATGGGATTGCACCCAGGTGGATGGGCGAGGGTTGGCGGGGTGGGCGGGGGTGGGGGTGGGCCCATCCTCAGGTTGCAACTACCGGTTCACTTGAACCGGTCCAAACCGGCAGCAGCCCACCACTAGATAGCAGTGTTTCAATATCTCAGAGGCTGCCACAAAGAAGAGGGAGTCAAGCTATTCTCCAAAGCACCTGACATGATGCAATGGGTGGGAACTAATCAAGGAGAGAAGCAACTTAGAACTAAGGAGAAATTTCTTGGCAGTTAGAACAATTAATCAGTGGAACAACTTGCCTCCAGAAGTTGTAAATGCTGCAATACTAGAAGTTTTAAAGAAGAAATTGGATAACCAATTGTCTGAAATGGTATAGGGTTTCCTGCCTAAGCAGGGGGTTGGACTAGAAGACCTCCAAGGTCCCTTCCAACTCTGTTATTCTATTCTAATGACTGGTGTTGCCAGTAAAAGCCATCTTTATCCTTAGGAAATTTTGAGGGACTTTTTTGACCAAATAAATTACATCATGGAAAGCTTAGCTTTTATTATAGTCTTATCTAAACTGGGTTATTTCCAGATATGTTATTTTAATTTCCAGAATTCTAAGCAGTAACCATAGTAGCTGGGGGAATTCTGGGCAATGAAATCTGGAAGGCTAGAAGGAGTCTCCTTTTAAACAGTGGTGGGATTCAGCCAGTTCGTACCACTTCGGGAGAACCGGTTGTTAACTTTCTGAGCAGTTTGGTGAACTGGTTGTTGGAAGAAATCATTAGGGCAGAGAACCGGTTGTTAAATTATTTGAATCCCACCACTGCTTTTAAAGCTTTCCACCTGTTGCTTGTTAAAATATTTTAAGATGTGCAGTTTATTTTTATTAAGGCTATATTACCGCTTATTACTGGTTGTAATTAATTGGTGGATTCTGTGAGTAAAAAGCTTTCTAAATTATATTCATTGAATGGACTTTTATGGTGTAAAATATATTATTCAATTCAAACATAATATACTGCCATTATTAGGAACTGAAGTTTTATTTGTAATAGTGGAATAAACCATTACTCGCTGATAGGAAAAATCTAGTTAGAATATACTATATAAACAAAAGTGTAATGAGATGCTCATTACATGAAAGTGTATAGAGACACAAAAGATAGGAATAATCATGTTTTTATGGCACTGAGCCTCATATTAATCAAAGTATTAATTAAATTATTAATAAAAACCCCTAATTGATCATATAAGAAGACTCAGAACCTATGAACCAGAGTTGTTCACATTTAAATTAAACTTTAGAGAGGAATCTCAATATTATTATTTCATTAACAAACACAGCAAAAAATAATCATTTGAGTTTGTAGTGATGTGTCCAGTACCAGCTGGAAGTACCATGAATGTTATCACAGAATATTTTGGGATCAATGGAAACCACATCTATTTGTTTAGTAATAAGTGGAACATAATCAATAATGAAAGCCATATGGCTAGTGATGAGTCCTTATGATAAACCATACATTAAGCAGTAGGAAACACACACATAATAAAAGACCCCATCATGCTCTGAAATATTTTTTTTAAATCAACAACATATGGTAGGCTTATTTAATATCACTTTGAAGTGTTGCAGGTTGCAGGGATGTTATTTGGTCATGTAGACGCTTGAATATTGAAAGAATATTCAATGTTAGAAAGAACATTCTATGGGGAAAAAGTGAGAAGGACAGGGATTATGAGGGGAATATAATATAAAATGAGGACATATCTCTTTTTAATATACCGTCAGTACTTTTATGCTGCTGTTACCATTGCTGACATATTCACTTTTTTATTTCTCATGTGTTTAATTGGGCCTGCAGTCTTCCTCTATTTTAATTCTTTGAGACTTGACCAGAATCTCTGTTCTGTGTCCAGACTGCATTTAATATTTACTTTATATGTAATATTCAAAAGCACAATATTTTAACAGGACTCAGGATTTTTTTAAAAAAAGATTGAAGGATACACCATTCACATGAGAAATACATCATTATGTTTACACATATGGACTGATTGATTTGATGTTCCTTGGCTCCAAACCACTCTGGGCAGCTCACAATACATAAAAACAATAAAAAAAGAAACCTCCAGTAAAACAGAGAGAAACAAACAATAAAACCAAACTCAGACAAAGAAAAGCAAAACTGTTGAAGCCAGAAAACCCCGAAACATTCCACAAACAACTGACAGCCAGCTACTCCAACCCAAGACTTGGGAGAACATCCAGTTTTCTATGGTTCTTCAGAATGCCAACAAGAAGGGAAAAATCAGGATTTCAAGGGGGAATCTCATTCCAGAGAGCAGGCACTGTGATAAGAGAAGGCAAACTTGCTGTGTCTTGATAGACAGCATTTTTGTTCGAAGGATCTCAAATGTGCCAACTTTGTTAATTTGCATTGCCTGGATAGATACCACAGGAGATAGGCAGTCCTTCAGCTGGATCCCAATACCATGAAGGACTTTATAGGTTATAACCAGCATCTTGAATCATACCTGGAAGCAAACTGGCAACCAGTGCAGCTACTGGGGCAAAGATATCAGATGGTCATAGCAAAGCGTGTCCATAACTTTCCACAGCACTGTATTCTGGATTAGTTGCATCTTACAAGTGGGACATGTAGAGTGCTTTGCGGTAGTGAAGCCATGAAGTGACAAGTACATGAGGGACTGAGAGGCTTCTCAATCTAGGAAAGGGTGCAACTGAAGCATTAGATGAAACTGTCGCAAAGCCTTCCTGGTCTTACCTGCCAACTCACTGAGCAGGAGTTGTGAGTTCAAGAAAACCCCAGATTGCCCACCACCCTTGAAACGGGGAATACAACCCCATTCAAAGTCAAAGGTAAACTAGTCTTGGAACCGAGAGGTCCCAAAACTTACAACCATTTGGTCTGCAAGCCTTACTGTACACTGTACATACTTTGTACATATTCTGAAGCTTAAAAAGTTTCATTTTGGCATAGAATCCAGCTAAAAGTCAGAGTTTAAAGATATGCTAGTGTGTGATGGGAAAGAAGAAACTGACTGGTAAAATTTAAGACTAAACAGGATTTAATCCCATCTAAATCTGTTCTTTGGATTTAGCGTATTGATACTAACGGTGGTGTCATGGAT